ATGCTTTTTGTCAATATTTTTCAGTCATTTCGAGGTTTTCTGTAGAATAATGGATAGAATTTGAAAATTTGAATTTCCTTGTAAATGGGAATGATATATAATGACATTTTCTCTGGGTCTGGCCAGCCAGTTCTGACAAATGGAAAGCGCACTAAGATAGCAAGCAAAGTAAAGAAGGACAATCTTAATTGTAAAAGTAACTGTTATTGGATGTTGTTTTAAATCAGCAGCGTGGGACTGAAGTGCGTGCATTCAATCTGTGAACCAGCAACAATTTGAAATGGTTTACGATCCCAYTGTACTCGTCCKCAAGGAAGTGAATAACGCCGGCTCAAGTTGACTTGTCGTACCTCCAGAGAAATATCRGAATACCCCAAGATGATTTTTATGTGATTTTGAAAACTGATGTGTTAGACGAACGGTGGTTATTTCTTTTTATTTTCCGAATGCGAATTAAAAATCGTCGTCATAGTAATCATGACGTCACTGATTGAATGCTCGGCCTCTGTATCCCAGTAAAAAAATAAGATCCTAAAACCAAACGGTTCTTGTAAATAACGTGGCAGTTATCGGTGTTTTATGTGTTTATGGTTTAACTATGGGTAGGGTTTTTTATCATAGATATGACTGYAGATTGAGAGATCAATTCATGTTGATATAGTACGATTACCACAATGATGCCACTTTCAAAGCAGGTGAATTAAATGTATGACTAATACGCTTAAGAAAGTTCATTTTTCTCTTAATTTATGTCGGGTACTTTGTCTGTAAGAGTTAGACTAAAAACTAGGGCCAATAAAGAAAACAGCATCACCCATAGGCCGCCCAACAGACCCACGAGGCAAGGGATCGTGACGTAATAACACAGGTAGTCCGCATTTGCTAAGAGCGCGCGCCGATAACATATACATAAATAAAARCGTGCGCAATCGTTCTTTACTGTCTCCAAAGCAATAGTTGGGCGGCCTATGCATCAYCGTGCGTCTACGCGTATCACAGGGAGCCCAAGCAGTGACTTTGAACCTATAATAGTTAAAAATAAAATTTTACTCAAAAAAATGGTCTACTTTTATTTTATTTAGTGTCACAATGCATTATAAATGGRTTTTAAAAAATATCCCCTACCTATATATATATAGTGACAAGGGAGGAGACTCCGCTCGAAATTCTCCCAAAAATGAGCCAAAAACGATCGACAAAAATCCTTTTTTCGCACCGAAATTAAATAAAAACGAAGTTTTATCTGAGACAGCATATGTAAATCAACGTTTTTTACCTTATTTTGGACGAGAGGCATCGATAGAAACGCTTTTTCGGGCAAAAAAATCCAAAAAAGTGTCCCCAAAAATATCCCAAACCCATCCGTGTCGATGGT